TGTTCCCCACCCGAAAAGAAGGAAAAGATGAAAGAAGAATCAAGAAACATGGAGAGAACCAAAGGACAAACAAAATCGATACATCAAGGTTATCAGTTCTATGCATGGGGAATAAAAATAAGAAAAAGGCCTCAAACAAAGTAATGTGTCAACAAACGACCAGTCAGAGAGGTCTTTTTTTGGTATGAAGTAAAAATGGAAAATCAGTTATGGACTTTATAAAGAGAACAGCGTAACAAAGTCCCTTGACAGGTGATTTGAGTTCCTTATGCAGCAATTAATAGAGATATGATTATGTTTAATAGTTCTTTTTTGTTACCTTCATCAGAAAATGGTTATAACAGCTTGAACCAACTACATTTTGGCAGTACTATTCAGGGTATTACAACAATGAATTTAACAAGATACTTTTGTTTAAATTGAGATCAATTCTATGACTGTCAAGGTGTTTATAAAACCAGGGTCAGAAAATATTTTAGGTCAAACAATCTTTTTATCCACACATTTCGTAGAACCCACAAATACTATACATTTCTCCACCACTCATTTGCCCCGTTTATAAACACCTTGCCAGACATACCCTAAATAGTACTGTGCTAAGATTTAAAAATATAGAATACAGTTGTCCACAGAGGATCTATTCTATTAAAGATGAGCAAAACTAACATGTAAACTATTCCATATTCACCATTATATTAAAGGGAAAGAAATACACGATTTTTCATTTATGCTTCTCTTTCTGTCAGCCCAAAGTCAAAAGGAATGTAGTTTTTGAACTAGTATTCTAAAACTATTTATTAGCATGTATCACAGCCAAATAAGTCATCCACTAGATTCATTCAACTGAGAAAAGAATGAGTAAACGAAAACTAAAAGAGCAAACGAATACACAAGCTTGAAACTATGGGAAATAAAATCCATTCTTTTTGAGACTGTTCTGGATAAATGTATTATTTACCTTAGCAAAGTACTTCCCATGGTTTTCAGCACACCTTAAAATAGTTAAAAGGGCAAACTCAAAGAGTCCTGAGGTTTCACTTTTTACTGCCTGCAACATGATGAATTATTTAGTCAAACGGATATAGGACAGATTAAGCAAATAATGGGGAAAAATAAAACAGTATACCTTTTCCAGCGAGTTTCCGTACATGCTATGATAAGCAGAAGAAATAGCAGTTAACTGTGACCCGCTTCTTTCAGAAAAAATGCGTATGAAAATCTTCTCATCAGTCCCTAGCTTCTTTCCCCAGCTTTAAAAAGAGATTTAGCATCAGCCTCAGCCATTACCCTGTCAACTTGTGGACCTTCATAGCGCATTGTACTAACGCAAGCAAGCAACAACTACAAAATAGAAAAAGAAATAGAGAACATAATGAATGATGGTGATGCTAAATCTATTTGAATCCCAGTCTTAAAGCATTAAGTTAGATTATTTATATATAAAAAAAAGGTTAATTTGAAAGTTTCTTGAATAGCATGGATGATAAAAAGGTTGGTTTTTCATGTTTAATTCTTAGCTTGCGGAGTAGAAGTTTTCTTTAGTTTGTCAAGTCAAGGGTACTTTGGCAATTCTATAACATTCTCATCAAAGGTTTATGAAGACATGAAGCCAAACTGGAATCAATTTAAAACATTTATCAGAAAAAATGTACATACAACTTTGAAGGTTATATTTAGTTGACCCTATTAAAAAGTTACCAAATAACAGCTTAATGGTTCTTTGAAGATAAGGAACAAATGTGAGCATGTATAGAATTTCTTTCAGAAGAATGTAAACATCTCCAACCAAAAAAGAGGAAATTAAAATCCTTAACCACCAAGGGAAATAGATGTTAAAAGATGCAGCTCCTTTTGTTCTACCAGTTTTAAGTCTTAAGACTCTTAACAAAGTAATCAACATGTCGTACGAGTCAAATATAATGTCACAAACTTGTTTTATGGTAATGCATATAAAGAATCCAATCACTAACAATGCAGTTTTAGATTACTTAGCAAAACAGAGAAATCTTCTGAACAGAACTGAAAAGGATTGACATGTTTGTACCACATCAAAACTTGTTTACTTTCGAGTGTGCGTGTGTGTGTGAGAGAGAGAACCTTTTGGTGATCGCCAGATGCTTGATTTTCAATATCATGCTCCAGATAAGCATGAAACCATGCATAGTAAATTTGTTTAAAATGTTGTATCTGGGATGGAGTCCGTGAACATATTACTTCAGTAGCACCTTTAAGATCAATTATGTCCCCACTCAAAGCGTTCCTAACTATAGTAGCATCCCTTGTTGCTGGATCAGGCATCCAAAGCAAGACAGCCCTCTGAAAGTGAAATCATTTGAGGTAACATTTATACAACAGAATATTGTATACACAAGTGAAAGTAGATTTCTTCAACTGAAATACGTCAGAAAAGATTATCATATATTCTATTTATGATCAATGTGTTAATCCAGCCAAGAAAAGATTGAAGATTACAAATAGAAAGAGACAAATATTTGATGATTTTCAAGGTACAATAATTAATCATTGCTATACATTTTAGTACCTTGACATCACCACTAAGTTCTGAAGCTAAGCGTTTGCTAAGTTCTTCAGAATACATAGCTCTATACTCTTGTTCAATGAGAGAGCGCTGTGTTGCATCTCGATGGGCAAGGATATGAACCAATGTTGCAGTATCACATTCAAAACCTGAAAACAAGAGTTCAGAGGCCCGCAGCAATCAAATGCAGGTTAGGATTACCAATTTAAATCGTAGACAATCCTTGTAGAATAACCATTCAGATAAAGTAATTTAAGTGATGGAAACTTCTTGAGGGCATTCACATATAAAAAGAAAAAATAGTTCCAAAACTTGGTTAATCAAGAGTTTCTGTAAAAGTTGTTGTCTACATAGGTCAGTCTAAAATAATTCTTATGTGCCTCTATTTTGTAGAAAACTAAAAGTGGTATCATGTCGTAGTATCTCACTTGCTTAAAAGAATTAAACTACAAAAGATAACATTAGCTATCTTTAAGAATTTGAAAGTGGAAAAATTAGTTTCACCAACGCCACACATAAGTAGAAACGAGATAAAAAAAAAACCTAGGAAATATAATTCAAATGCTTTCACTCAAATCCACTCTCAATTTATAAATTTGATCAAATGCCAATAACCATCAAATAAAAATTAATGCCTCATGTCAAAAGGAAAAAAAAAAAAAAAGAACCCTAAATATTATTTCAATTTTTCATTAAATATGCAATACTATTTTGGAAAGAAGTTTCATGGGTTCAACAACACAGATCATTGTCTGAAGCTTTCCAGAGCCTAAGCCATTAAGAAGTTGCCATCAAAACCATCTCAGAGTTTTGACCAGATAAAATGTGGGATTCTTGGAAAATGGAGGTCACACCAGACCATAAATATAAATATTTTTTTTAAAACTATTCACTTTTTTTTGTAACATAACATGTTGAGTTCCATGGATGTTCCATCATTGTGATCTAGTACCAGAAAAATTGATAATTTACCACAATTCTTGTGGCCAATAGATTAATACTTATATAGCGTCCCCTTTCCACACCCAACCTCCCTCCACGAAAAAATAAATAAATAAAAGTAAATTCAAGTCAATTAAACATTTAAAAAATAAAAAAAAGATCTAAGACTGTTTAACCTCCCACATGGCCAAATCTTATCCACTCTTCGTTTCTTGAACAAACAAAGCCTAGAACTCTAATCAATTATTCAATTAACCTTAAACACTTCTTTTAATTCTCAGAAAAGATTCACAACGGTTTATGCATAAAAACACAAGGTTCAATTCAAATTAAGCGAACAAAACCCCAAATCGTGAAATTAAGAAAATAATATTAAAAACACACATTTACGTCCCCAATATCACAAAAACGCTGGCAATTTCGTTTCATGGAAAAAAAAAAAAAAGAACCATAGGTAATGGAAGAAAACTAAATACTCAGAAAATACCCTTAAAGGCTTTGTAAAGCTTTACGGCATCATCACGAGGCGATGTTAACACTGGCGGAATACTCAAGGTTGACATCTCTCTTACAGCCACACCAAACAAAATTGAACGAAAACGAGTGATTCAACAATAAAGATTCGTACTTCACCGGTAAAAATTTTCACCACAATTTCTTCGGAATCAAATCATCAATAAGAACAAGGATATGGATAATGCTTGTGTCTGTAGCATTTGACAGGTCTTGGCCCACCAATTCAATTTTTAATCATGCTACGCGTAACACTTTACCTGTCTATAAATTTTTGAAAACAAAGAGACGTAGGAAAAAAGTTGTACAAAGAAACATTATTGTCCAATTTTAGAATTATGCTAAGCTGTACATTCTTTGATGTTCATTTTCTTTTTATATTGTATGAGAACTCAAAACGCGTTGGACGAATATATTTATTTTTATAAAACTGTCAATTTATGTATCAACACGTCACATAATATAAAAAATGATGTAACATGCCACGGGGGCACATCCAAGTTGGCAAATGATGGGCACTGCTGGGCTTGCAACCTCAGGGTGTGGAGTTCGATTC